AGGCGTAGTACTAACCATAGACAGCCACATCGTTCAAACGCTGTCGACACCATCAGCTATCCTGGACATACATTTCTTGACGCATGTCACTAGCTCCAACTTTGGCGTTGCAACTTCAACAGGTGCGTTCGCCATTTACGAACTCCAGTCGTGGCAGCGCGACCCCAAGATCGCCCACATCAAGACTATCCAATACTTCCCTGAAGATGTACTCATCACTGCGTTCACTTGGCATCCGGAGTCCTTCATGGTCGGTATGACGCTGTCGAACGGACAGGTATGTCTCGGTGTCATAGATACGGAAGACGAGTCCGATGCGCCTACGAAGATGGAAGTCGCATCGCATGATTTGGAAGCTTGGACCCTTGCGTTCTTACCGGATGGCTCAGGATTGTTGTCGGGTGGAGATGACAGCGCGCTTCGTTTCGCGGAGCTATCTGACGGATCTGGAGGAAGCGTACCCTGGATGGATGGAAAGATACACGGCGCTGGTGTTACTGCTATTCTCCCCGTACATCTGGACAGCCAAGGTGGTCTGATCATTACTGGCAGCTACGATGATCATATTAGGCTTCTCCACGTACCTATCTCAGGCCGTCGTCAGGTTCTTGCGGAAGCCAACCTCGGTGGTGGTGTATGGCGGCTGAAGCTGCTGGACCGAAACCCCAAGCTGCCAGCGCACCACGGCGTAGAGAAATGGAGATCGGAACCGCCGCCAGAGGCCATTCTACTGCTTGTTAGCTGTATGCATGCTGGCACTAGGATCGTCAGGCTCACCAAGAGCACTTCCTCAGATTGGCAGATCGAGGTACTGGCCAAGTTCGAGGAGCATGAGAGCATGAACTACGGAAGTGATTCTCAGCCAGATCTCAATAGTCAGGGTCAACGGACGTTCATATCTACGAGCTTCTACGATCGGCTGTTGTGTCTTTGGAGATACTAGTAGTCTGCTGTAGGTAGTTGAACTCCAAAGGATAAGTATACATATCAGATATCACATGTGAAGCAAGCTGACTACAATTGGCGATGATGTGTTTGTATTTCCAGAATTAACATACAAACAGTAAGAAAGGAACCCAGACTAAACTCCCAAAAAAGCAATACTCCCAAACGCCAAACATATGCCAGGGGGTCCTCGCTGTCAAAACTCATGCCGGAACGCATTGCTTCGCAGGCTCGAAGCCGGCATACGGATCGAACGGCATTGAGCCGAGACCGTTAGCAGCCATGTCGGCGTCAAACGCAGCGGTAGGCGGCGGCTCGTACCATCCAGGAGCCATGTCGCCGGCAGACGGGCTGTTAGTCGGGGGTTCCGACGAAGGGGCAGACATGTCGCTGCCAGAAAAAAAGTCGGGTCCAAAACTAGGACCGGACGACGAAAGACAGGAGGACTCGACCTCCATGTCGTCCTCATACCACGGGGTCTCCGCGAATTGGTCGCCGCTCAGACCAACGAAGTCCCCAGCGGGGTTGCCAGGCTGCTCTTGAGGGGCGGGAGCAGAGGCAGGATGTGCCTGGATACTACCATCCAGGGCCATCGTGAAGAACTCTCGAGCCGGATCGAGAGAAGACGACGCAACGCCTTCGAAAAACTTTCCGAAGGGATTCTCCGAAACTCTGACCTCCCTAAGCTGGAGGAATCTCATCCCTTCCATCAACCCTATATTGACTTCGTTGAAGCCAATATCCACATCCATGACCAGGATGAACTCGGACTGGTTCTGGCCGTATTCAGACCAGTGGTTGTAAGGCCCTGCGTCTCCTTTCGGATAAGCGGGCAGCCAAGCGTGGCCAAACGCCAAAACCTGCTTCTCGGCAGGAACCGACTCGTCCGTCCACGCCATGCCGTTGACGATGTACTTGACCATATCGCCGTTCCCGTTTCGGGCAACCGTAACAAGGGCATGACTGGAGGGGGCTTGGCGGGCCAGGAATTGGGCTTCGGCCTTCTGGGTGGCCCTCTCCTTGTCTGCCGTGGCAGCCGCGATTTGTTCGGCGCCGTCAAGCTTGGTCTTTTTCCACATGCCGGGCATGCTGAATTGCTGTTAGGATTGCTTTGGGTTTAGGAGGTACTAGTTGTAGCTCACTTGAAGGTGAAAGGTAAAGTGCTTGACTTTACTTTTGTGTTGGTGATGGTGGGGGTAGTGGGGGTTGTAGTAGTGTGTTGGTAGCAGAGGTGGTGGTAGCAGAGGGGGTGGTAGTGTAGTATGTCTTGAAGGTAAGTTCGAAGAGAGTCTTGGTATCTACCTTGGTATGTGTAGAGTCAAGAGTCGGATATCTGCTAAAGAAAAGAAAGAGAAGGGAAGAGAGGAATACGCTGCGTTTTATAAGAACGAAAGCGCAGCAGGACTCCACAGCGGTTGTGAGTCTTCAGCAAGATATTATTAATGGGAAAAAAGAGATACTATGGAACGACCAACATATGAGCACCAGAACCATGTCACGAACATCAACACTAGCAGCTGAGTCGCTGCTGTTATCGTGGGAGGACGGTTATCAATAGCAAACTCAGACGCAACCTTGGAAGCGCTGAGGGTATTTTCACCACAGTGTGATCTTTCGCGGCCAAATCCCCCGACACCAATATGGATGCCTATGTTTCTACACATATTCGTCATAACGATGACTGGAATGCCTTTGTGCGAAAAGCGGCCACTGGATCTAAGCGACTGACTCCTCGCTCTTTCGCGGGACTCAAGGCGAACCGACACCATTATTCAGCGATTACAACGCGACAAAGTCACGTATCACGTTCAATTCATTCAAATCGCGCTCTCAGCGCGCTCAGATTCGATTTCATCGCTCAAAACCCAAAACAACACACGCCACATCAAGTCACATACGCATATGCGAAATTTCAGAAGCCATTCACCCGAATACTGAGTACCGGAAGGCACATGACACGACCCACAGACCAGGTTACCATGACCAGACGAGATTTAGCAGTGTCTTCCTGTGCACCATGACTACGCAGTGAAGCTCTGGAAAGCATAGGGCAGAGTGCACGGTCATCAATCTGAGATCCCATGGTTGCCATTTATGCGGTGGGGGTGCGATGAGTCTTGCGGAGCTTTTGGCCGGGCGATAGAACGGCTGCTAGGGCTGGAGTGAGTGGAGATGAGAGTGGCGTGGGGGTGTATATCTGAAATTGCGGGTGTGTGTTTGGCTGTGTGGAAAACCGCTTGGGCTGGAAGAGCAAGGAGAGGAGTAGGCGGGTTTGGCTAGCTCGCAGTGTTGCCTGCTTAAAAATATCTGATCTATACTGGTTAGCCGGGTTTACATCGGCGGAGGGTTGTTTCTTCTTTCCTTTGCACTAGGGGGAGGGCTTGTGCGCTCTGTGGGGAATCAGTAGCATCGCTAATGGCAGATGATCAGGACGCTATCTACACATTTACACAATCGGGTGTCTTGTTGCGAGGAGTCGAGTCGATGCTTGACGAAGCTTTGATGAGTCGTTTTGCTACTTCATGCTGTTGTGATGTAATACTGCCCGGGCAGCCACGAAGCAAGAAACGTTTGTACTTTGTCGCACAGAGTACAATGCCGTATGGCTAATGCAGAGTACAATGTTGTATAGTTAATGCAGGCTATGTCTTTCGCTTTTCCTATAGGATGATTCCCCCTCTAGATACCGATACCGACCGCCGACACCGAAAAAATGCACCCACTGTAAAGCCAACCGCGCCGAACGCTACGCTAAGATGCAGTAGATCAAAACTAAATGGGTATCGCAACAAATGACACGGAAGAACAGCAACAAGAAAAAATGGCGAAAATCTCATCACCTCCTAGCCGGTGGTGACAACAATCCGCTGCTAACCGACTCTCTCTTCAGATCTTCCTTCTCACCTAACAATGCCTTGACTCTCTCCACTCTTGTCACGGCCTTCTCCAAGCGATCCAGCCTACCCATCTTCTCCCTGTCCCTGCGTTCTAAAGTCTCAACCCGCTCTTCTAGCTTAGCTCTTGCCCGTCGTTCTTCCGCTACCATTTCGTTGGCCTGGCTAAACAATTGCACGCTCAGCTCTTCAATCTCGGAATCCACAGTTTGAACACGTGCTTCCGCTTTGGCGCGTAGGGCACGCTCGCGCTCGAGCTCGTTGAGTAGGGTGTAGTCGACCGGTGGTGCGTGCGACGGATCTTTTGGTGGTGGAGGCGGAGGCATGCCCCCTGTATTCGCCGGCGACGGGAAGCGACTTGTGATGAAGGAGAAGCGGGAGGCTTTTGTGGAGTTTGCGGTTGTGGGACGTGGGGGATCGGCGTCGATGGAGGGGCGTGAGGATGGGTTGGGGATGTCGGATTGTGAGGTTTGGGTCCGGGGCAGTTTGGGGGCGTTGTGCGTCGCTTGGAGGCTGCGGATTTGGTCTTCGTAGTCGGCACATCTGTCGACTAGACGATGTTAGTATGTGTGGGCTTAAGTGTGATATGACGCCGGACGCATAATGGGGGCGTACCGGCTGCTGTAGCCTTCTCTTTCAGGCGCTCCATTTGCGCTTCGAGCTCCTCTATCCTCTGCCTCGCATCTTGAAGCTCGGCCATATCTATGCTACTGCCACACGACGGACAGCTCGGGGTATGCGCCTCGTTTGGGGCGTGTTTCGATGGCACTGGAGGCGCTGGAGGCGATGCTTCGATGCTCGCTGCCATGACTGCGCCGGTGTCCTGGGTTTCGGGCTCGTAGTAGTAATGTTTCGTTATCGCCGGTGGCAGTCGTGCGTGGTTTGAAGAATAAAGGGAGATTGTGGGGTTTGGGTCGTGGTCGTGATGACGGAAACTTGCTGGGTTTCAGGTGATCGGCACCTGTCTTCGTCATGCAGGGATCACGCGCGTGCGGGCGCCATGTCCATATCTGGACTGACGTGTCCAACTTTATCTTATAGTGTCCACTTCGCGCGGATCACTTTGCTTTTGGTCTCGTTCAAGGGTCTCACGCAATACAGAAGAGGGCGCAGCTGTGAGTTTCGGGTCTTGCTACTTCCTCGACTAATTGTGGACTTAGTCTACGCGAATGCGGCCTTGTTCTCTTTCACCCAGTCCTCCAGCTTCATCGGCTCGCGCTCCGTGTACTTTCTCACATTCTCCACGGCTTCCTTGTAGATTTTCCGATAGGGATCATCGCGTCCAGAGTCGCTCTCCCGCATTCCCCGCGCCAGTGTGTCGAGTATCGGCTTAGGCATGTACGCCAACTTCTTATACCACTTCTCCTCGTCAATCTCCTTGACCTTGACCTCCTTCCCCAATGCTTTGCCAATAACAGCGTGGGCTTCGCGCTGAGTGAAGAGCTCCGGACCACACAAATAGAACGACTGGCCCGCTTCTTTCTGGAACCGCGGCTCTGCGAGAAGTGCACCGCACACGGTACCAATGTCTGAGGGAGCGAGGTAATCGAACCGCACGTTGGGGTAGAGGAGCTCGACTTCGCCCTGCTTGATGTCCGCGAGGTTCCAGAAAACGTTGCTGTTGAAATATGCGGGTCGGACGGCGGTATACGAGACGCCAGTTGCTCGCAATGCGCTTTCAGCTGTGGTGTGGAAAGCGCCAATCATATCCATCTTGTTGACCTCTGAGTCTAGAGGGTCTTCGACCTTGAACGAAGACAAGAGGACAATGTAGGTTACACCGGCCTCCTTGAGCGCTTCGAAGCTGCTTCGCATGCCGTCTTGGATCTCGTGTACGATGTATACGAAGGCTGTCTTGGCACCAGAGGTACTGACCGCGGTCTTGAGGGTTTCGGGCTTGGCCAGATCGGCTTGAATACGGACATAGCTGTCACTGTTTCCCTCTTCCTGAATGCCTTTCAATGGCTTCTTTGTGTCGCGCATGGCTAGGTACACTTTAGCGCCACGCCTGTGTGCTTCAATGGCAGCGGCGCTGCCTACCGCTCCAGTCGGTCCGAAAACGAGAACGGGAGAAGACATGGTAAGTTGTGAATATGGCTGGGGTATCCTGACTTGATATCAATGTAGTTGTAGAAATCTTAATGTTTACATATGCGATATCGAGTTGCTTTATCTAAACTTCGCAAAAAGAAATCGCTGGTGGCCTCATCGGCATCCGCGGCACGCGGTAACGGCCTCTCGGTGTCTCGGTATACCAATGCTGTCCAGAACAAGACTATTCAGCCACTTGTGTGCGGTAAGATATGCGCGTAAAGACGTAAGGGTCTGTATAATCGCTGTTGTCGCACCTCATCGCTGTCCGATGTGGGCAAGAATACGACGGTCGGGACCCCGAGGTCGCCGTGGATGATGTCATGGATATCCACATCTCGGACATCAACATCTCGGGTATCAACATCTCCTTGAATCGCCGGAGACAAGTCTGTCATTTGCAAGATCACTAGACCCGAGTCATTATTGTCTGAAGGATACGCAGAGCGGAGACATATCTTCGCTTTCTACGGAACAAATATATTCCAAACAGCACCCAGATTTTAAAGCCGGTTGGTATCGCAGCACGAGTGTGTTCCAGAAGGACCATTCGTCATCCTCAACTACATGGAGTACATATAACAAAACCAGGAGCAGTACAACTATGGCAATGTTCCTCCTGCTAGAAAACGACGCGTACCATATACAGACATGACGAATGTAGAAGCAACAAATCACCGGAGCTAGTGATACGTGTTGTATGCCCGATCCGGTACCTGCACGCTATTTCTGTCGTCACTACGAACCTCGTGAACGATCGTGCGCATAATCTCGTGTTTGCCAGGTTGCTCTTGTAGGATGTGTCTCTCACTGTCTCCGTCATCATCGTCGTCGTCGTGTTCGATCCTTGATTTGTCGCATCTGGGCCGACTGGCTGATGTGAAAGGTTTGCTGACGTTGTGAAAAGGAATACCATGTTCGCTGGGACCATGGGTGCGGCTGCTTAGGAGACTCGAAGGCATGATCTTTCTGAACAATGATTCGAAAGGTTTCCGCAGCGGCGGGAGTGAGGCGATTAATATGCCAACCGAGAGCTCAAGTCCGGACCACATTGCCAAACGAGCACTGTCCCATGTGGGGTCCTTGGTCTGTAGCAGAACAGGTAGCTCGGTCGTCTTGAGGATAGAACAGATGGTTGCACTGATGATACTGTCAGCGTGACGAAGGACTGGGGTTAAGGTCACGTTTACCCTAGACTAAGACAGAATACAACACGAAGACCCCATTGTGTACGTCTCGGGAGCTGGATGGTAGAGAGGTAGATGAGCGGTGCGACAACGTATACGAGATCTGTGATGATATTGGATCCTCCCTAGGTTTGTGTTAGCAACTGTTTAATGTAAAATATGGGATCGAGTTAACGAACCTGTGTCCAGGAGAGGCCAACGTTTCCTGTAGACATGAAGCATTTTCCCTCGATGGCTTTGTTCCAGTTGGCCTCCATCGGAGTGCGACAGAATACACTCATCATCGGAACCACCAAGTTGAATGTCGTAACCATGACGATGCTCGCCCATACGACTACCAGATACACCCGGGAGAAGTTGAGGTTGAGAAGATACGCGCAAATGGAAAATTTGAGTGACGAAATCGCAAGCATGTTGAGGATCTGACCAATCCACAGGTAGTAGCTGTACTGTCTCATGTTGACGCTAGGATCTTTCATGTGACGACCCAGGCCATACTCGACTGTCTTATAGCGCACCACGATGGAAGCTATGTTGAGTATCTGGAGGCAGTTGAATTAGTCGTCACCTCCAACGATTCCTTAACTATTAACGTACCACAGCGAGGACGAGCAAAGAATCGCAAATCACCGTCCTTCGTTTGGTTTTGATTCCGTGAACCATTCGCCAAACAACGAAGGCGGTACTGATGACGCAAAGAGATGTAGTAGATGCCAATATCTCTACTCGGCGGTCAGGCCACTCTTGCTGAGTGTCTGTCATGTTGAAAGATTGCTACCGGTGATACTGGAACGAAGCATGAAGTAAAACAACACCGATAGTAAGGGAACGAGCCACTTATATTGGTGGACGGCTTGTGGGAATTCGAACACATGCAGCATCGTTCCTTCCTCTATATTGCAGACAAAAGTGACCCGACAGGTTGGTGAACTGCATGTTAGCTCAGGCAACGCACGCCAGTGACCAACATTGCGAAGGTTGGAAATCGCCAACGAATGGGGTCCGTTCCGGTGACTTACATGGATCTTCAGCATCAAGACCCTGAACTCCGACGGACGGAAGATTCACCTCGAATCCTTCTTGCATTTCGGCTACCGGACTGCGATGAACTGGAAGCACTTGTTACGCGCAGCGCTATTCTGAGTGGTCAGTGCAAATCCATCGGTTCTGCCATGTCTCCTGCTATTTCGTTAAGCTGTGCCGCATTCGTATCTACAAACGGGAAATGGCCCGCATTATGCGAGAGAACACACGAAACGTCTGATCTCGATCGGCGCTCGTCCGAGTGACCTAACCGACCTTCTTGTTTCGACATGAGCCTGAGTGCGAGCGACCAGAGATTTGTCAAATATTCAGAACCAGCCAGAGACGATGAATATGACCTCAAGTCAGAGAAGCGCGTTTGATGGCGTGATGGCCGTATTGATCTGTCTCACTGGTTCTATGTCACGGTTGATTTGGCGGCTATCGCGCCACTGGCGGATATCTAGCAAATTCCTATAGACCACTAGGGAATTTGAAGGACATATGCAACTCGACTGGGCCGGTCGATTGGCAAGAGTGAAGCAATCTGAGCTTGGCTCGGGCGGCTTGAGCAAGTGCTTAACCGAACAACTGAAGGCGAACAACGCACGGACGAACGTCTGGTTCGAGGCGAATGGGCTCTCTCAAGTTTGAACAACTGGACGTTGCTGGCCTTTCGGTTCGCTAGCTAGACAACGGAGCCAAACTCAACCGAACTCGCTAAACCATCAGCACGGGGATTGCTCGAAGCCGGAAGGGATGTCTCGAATCGGTTGTAGAAAGTGGGAAGAACTGTGACATGCTCAACAATGTTGCATGCGCTTACAATGAGACCCAGTATTGCGGTTGGCGGCAGCCGGAACTCGTGCCGACCAGAGTCAGGGACCGATCCTCCGTTCCGTCCCATGCGGACCTGCAGCCGAGGCAGTGTTTCTAGGCATCGTAATCCTAAGGCCTGATGTCGTATGTGTGGAGCTCGCAGATTTGATGTATTCATAAAATGAAATGACCATCCAGTGTTGGCTGAAGAGGTCTGAGATCCCATGAAAGTCGCTTTGTTGGTAAGGCACGAGTGTTCCAAGGTGTGATCATGACTCGCCGCATGTTCTAGTCTGCTCTGTCAGTAGATGCAACCGATGCATGAACATGCACGCACTTTATTTGCTACGAATCCTACAGGAAGGTCGCATGAGTATCTCTCGCCACAATTTTACCGCAGATAGTAGTTCCACCGCCGCTACTAAGCCAGCAATGAGATACCCTGCATCTTGGCGAGGCGGGCGATCCAAAGTGGCGGAATTAGATCAACTGTCTCATCGGATTCGCAGAATTGCGTTTTGTGTAGTACCAACAGGAGCTCTTGTGAGATGCGAAAGGGCCGACTGCCCGTGTAAGAAAAAGTCCCGAGGTTTGAAAGTTAGTGGTTGTTACCTAAGCATAATTGTTCGGTGACAACGGGCCTAGGGGACGGCAGGCAAGCCCCGCGGGGGGAACATTCCCTAGCTCCGGAAGCACCCCTGTCACTAATTTTGCGAGCCGCCTTTTCACCACGCCGTAAATCGTCTATACTATCTGCAGGAAGCCCTGTTGCCATGCTTTCAAATCGCGTGGCCGTGGCGAAGTCTAAAATATGTCCTTACCCGCGGAGCTTTACTGCCGACGTGCGGCGACTCATGTGTATGTTGGCGACTATGCACATCCAGGTACCAGGTGATGATCTAGATGAACGGCAAAGCTCGCAGATATCCATTTAAAAGCCATAGGGATCCAGCAATCAAAAATGCACCTCACATTCATACACTCGTCCCACAGAGGCTCTTTTCAAGATGTTGTCGGCCACTACTTTGGCAGTCGTTGCCCTCCTGGGCGTAACCAGTGCCCTACCGAACAGTGCTGGCCAAACGCAAGTTCGAGCTACAAAAGACACATGGGATTATGTGATTGTTGGAGGAGGTGTTACGGGCCTGGTGGTTGCCAATCGCCTGAGTGAAGACAAGAAGAGTAAGTCGAGATGCTGATTCCCTACATGCGAAGTCGCATCAGCGCTGACATGTTATCCAGAGAGTGTTCTCGTCATCGAGGCTGGAGCAGCATACGATAATCCTAATATCCGAATGCCGTACGGTGCTACCTTTCCATTGAACGAAACTCTGCTCTGGGGCTACACCTCGCAACCAGAACCGTACATTGCGAACAAGACATTTCCCACACGTGCCGGACGAGTGCTAGGTGGCGGCTCGATCGTCAACGGTATGCTGTATGATCGAGCTGCGGCGGGCGATTACGACGCTTGGGAGGCCCTTGGAAACAAAGGCTGGGGATGGGAGGGCATGTACCCATTCTTCAAGAAGTCCACCGAGTTCTACGAGCCTCCAGCGGACTTGGCTAAGAAACTCAACATCACCTGGGACCCGAAAGCGTAAGTAATTGATTGTCTTCCGAAGATGAAACTCAACTAATCCCGGGAATCTTTTAGCTACGGTAATGGTCCTCTGAAGATCGGCATCTCAGACTTCCAATACCCCGACGTTGTAGACTACTACAAGGCCTTCGCGGGCGCCGGTCTACATGCGCCTCGCAGTGGCGATACTGGAGAAGCTTACGGAACGGCTTGGTACCCAAACACAATGAATCCCAAGACTGGCGAGAGGTCACATGCGCGTAATTCTTACTACGACCCCGTATCGACACGTGCGAATCTCGAGGTGATGTTGGAGACTCTTGCGACCCAGATCGTGTTCCAAGGTGAGCGCAAGCTCACGGCGAAGGGCGTCAAAGTCACCGATAAGAAGACTGGGGCCACAAAGACCGTATACGCGAAGAAAGAATTGATCCTGGCATGCGGCTCTGTCAATACTCCTCAGCTCCTTCAACTCAGCGGTATCGGACCGAGATCTGTTCTTGAAGCCGCCGGTATTCCTGTCAAGCTTGAACACGACGGTGTAGGGGCCAACTTCCAGGACCATCCGTACACCAACGTACAGTTTAACATGTCAAATGTGGGCAACCCCAACCCCAGCTCTTACAGCGACCCAGCTTTCAACGCATCCGCAAGAGAGGAGTACCGCGTCAACAAGACCGGTCCACTGACCTTGGCTCGTGGAAACGGTCTTGCGATGGTACCGCTTCAGATTGTCGACCCCGAAAGATACAAGAGTCTCGCGAAACAAGTACGAAGCTCCGACAATGATGCGTACCTGCCAGCTCTTTACAAGAACAGCAAGAAGCTTCTCAAGGGCTTCAAAGCTCAGCGCATGATTCTGGCCAATCTGTACGAGAGTGCCAAAGCAGGAATCGTTGAACACACCATTTCCGGATCTGGCACATTCGAGATCGTAGGGCTCGAGAAGCCCATTTCCAGAGGTACAATCATGATCAACCCTGCCAACCCACAAGGACCACCACACATCTTCTACAACTCGTTGAGCAGCCCAGTCGACAGGGCTGTCCTCGGATCCTGCGTTCGTTTCCTTCGCACAATCTGGGGTCGCCCAGAGCTGGCGAAGTACTCGCCTGTGGAGACCTCCCCAGGAGCGCAGTACATGACCGACGAAGAGATCCTCAAAAGGTCGATCGAGGTTGGGAGCGTCATTCCCACCTTGTCGCATCCCTCTTGCTCATGCGCTATGATGCCAGAAGACATGGGCGGTTGCGTTTCCGACAAGCTTCTCTTCTACGGCGTCAAGCACATGTCAATCATCGACGCCTCCATTATTCCCATTGTGCCTACTCAGCACATCCAGTCGACGATGTATGCAATCGGCGAGAAGGCTGCGAGCATCATCAAGAGCCGTGGCTGATGCGAAGCGCAAGCTGTTTATGTAAATAGTTTGTAGTCTAATAGAGGAATGCATGCATGATCTATGATTGGGCTTACTCGTTTGAGTGTGAGGTTGTCGCTACGTACTTGTTCCAAGCAAGCAGGAGCACCTCTATCAAATTATGCACACTAACGGTGATCGATGTGTTTCTCGATGAATGTACGTAGTGTTTTGCGATGCAATCAACGGTAATGAGAATTGGGAGGCTGGGTGAGTAGATAGAAGGTTGGTACCCCTGGACGCGTCACGCCACAGACGCTAATTTAGCGTGAACTATATGTGACTATGACGACAACATGCGCCTTCTCACAACACGGAGGGAATGATTGGTATTTTATTGTTGCTTTATCCGTGATAGCTTGCCCGAGGGCCTTTTCGATGGAATTCTGGATTTCTCCACAATCCGTATCACCATGGACTTCGCCCGTACGTTCGTAATCCGAAGCCGACATGCTACCATCATCGCTGGAGTATTCATCGTCGGAATTCGATGAACTGGCATCTGGCAGCTCAGTAAAGGCGCCCAGTCTCTCTGTATATATTGTTACTTCATATCCGAGGTACGCCAGAATATCGTCAACGGCTCTCTTCGTTGGCTCGCGGCTTCTTCGTGGTCATAGGGGCAGTTTCACATGACTTTGATGTAAGAAATGGCCTCCACGTCCGTCACCATGTAGGTCTTTGTCGTCGTTTCTCCGCTCTATGTCCCAGTCTTCTTTGAAAGCATTACGTCCTCGTCCCAATTCAGCGTTCGGGTGCTCGTGGTAGCGGCGGTCAATGTTGCACGATCTTCTCCATGCTGAGTTCATGCCAGGTACACCGAAGCAAAAACGTTGCGCAGGGCACCCGCGGCAGGCAAAGCGCACAACATTAGGCGATGTCGTGGTTCAGTGCCTGTCCCACTTCTGCTTTCTGCACTGGGGTGTGGCCTCCGCTATCCTATATATGAGTAATCCATACTCTTCTTCTTCTTCGATTATATATTCTTTGATCCATCTCTCCGTTCACACATTTGAGGCCGCGTTGATCTTGGCTCATCCATGAGCTTTTGGTACACAGTGGCCTAAACCGTATCGCGATGTCCTCGGGCTTGGTATGGATAATCTCTAGCGTGGCCATGTCGAAACTCCAGCGCGACTGGATCATTGGGCTACATATAGATGAAGTGTCCGTATGTGTAATCAGCATCGGAATCCGTAGTGAACGCAGGAAATCTCGACCGCGGATAGCGTTGTCTTTGGGCTTGCGATTGGAGCATTCGAGCCATGTTGTCAATGTATGGATACCAGCGTCTCCTAGAGTTAGAACAAGAACACACTTCAAGTCCTCCTCATTCCGGTATATGGTCAATAGTTAGTGACTTTGGTATGACCTGCCGGGATCCGTAGTTTGGGGCGCATGCGACAAGTGCGTGCCTCATAGTAGTCCGTCCTGCGCGAGAGGTCCAGATGACGTTTTCTTTCTCCTCGCCTAGTTGCCGGGGTCGTCCTTCTCAGCATGAGCTGTCGTCAGCCACCGCTCGCCTGAACCACGGCCAATCCTCAGTTCGAGTGCGAGGCGCACTCTCTTCTTCGTCACTCATTATGGACAGCTGGGTTGTGGGTTTCTTTGCCGAAAGCGACCAGGAGTCTTATGACAAGGTAACCGGGCGTTGATGCAATTATCGCATCTCCCCAGGAGTCTCTGTTTTCATGCGTAGTGCGTATATATAGCGAGCAGTCGACTCTCAAAGACGGCAATGACTTGACGTCAACCATCCAGGCGCAGCCAAAGCTCCACACGCTGGAAAGGCGTAGGTATATATCTACTATCGGTTAGCAACGTGACTTACTCAAAACCCAATTAAGCTTACAATGTATGGTTATAACCAAGGGATGAGCACATCGTGTCTTTCCTCGTTTGCTTATATACGAGATCGTTGCCACCTGTCTCGCACGTCCGTCATGGACGGTTTGGGAGCGGAAAGAAAAGGTCGTGGTCATGCGGTGGTGCAAAGTAGACCATCCACCCGCAATGAACATAGTTGGTTCTGCGTTCCGCTCCGCCTCCAATTGGTTCGTGACTCCCAGCCACCAACCCAATGAGTCCTTCATTGTACTTGGCGCCGTCGAGTTGACCAGCCGACCATCCCTTCCAAATAACGGACTGGTGTCGTCATGGTGTGAAGAAGTGCAAGTCGAGTTAGCAGTCGCTTCCTTTGTCCTGAGAGTAGTGAGCATGTTGTCAAAAACCTAATAGATAAGAGAACTATGCATACCAGAGAGGAGATTCGCGACGCACGAGATCCTACGATGGGATATAGCCGGTCTGCTATATATGGATGCATACGTTGATCAAGACTGCGCAGCATCCCACGACTTAGGGAGGAATGGTGCAGCATATTGCTTAAGGTTGTGTGTATACATGAAGAGTGAAATGAAATCAAGTATATACGAAGATGAAAGCGTTCGCTCCTGCTGGGCTTGCGGATGAACGCCCAACAGGAACGGACGTCTTGAGTTAGAGAAAGAAAGGCGACATGGAGACGCTTCAACAGTATTTAACTCCAGCTCGATGACTATGTGGTGCTCTCCGAGGTGATGATGGTGTTTGTCTCTTCGATCGCGCGTTGAAGTTTGCACGCGCGGGTAAGTGCGATGGTGGCTGCAACTGCACCCTGCCTCACCACCCAAGCACCTGCCTGAAGGCTGAGAACGTCGTGACAAACCATCAAAAAATCCGCCCCCGAATCTTCACGTCACGAAATGGCGATCATACGTTTTGCGAAGTCCTATTGCTACTACCGCTTCGCGCATTACTCATACGTTTCCGACTATTGTACAGGATCTTTGGCATTAACGCCCTCTTCTCAGATCATGGTATCGTCCCACAGTACGCGCCTCGCTATGCATGTGAAAAGGACAAACTTTTAGAAAACAAATCCACCGCCCACCCACACCGCCTCATATGCATCATCCGCCACCCGTTTCCTACGTGCATGTTCAATACATGTCGTCATCAATCTCTCCTTCGGCGTCGATGTCCTCTTCTCCTTCGGCATCCACGTCAGCGTCCACCATCTCCACGTCCTCACTTGGCGTGTTTGCTGCCGCGGGAGTGTGCGAGCCGCTTGTCGTCGGGTCTGCAACGGGCTCTTGCCCAATTTGTGGGGTCGCAGAGCGGGAAGCGGGTCTAGGATCCGATCTGTTCTTCTCTGCATGAGACTGTTCAGAGTTGAGGGCGCGGTGCATGATCCGGTACTGTTGCTTCGGGTTCTTGAGGATCTCGCGACTAGTGCTAGTCTCCAGAGGGCCGATATCTTGAACATTCGCAGCGCCTTCTGCATCAACAGGGGTCGCGTCAGTACCTACGGCCTTACGCGCCTGTAGTGTCGAGAGCCTCAAGTTGTAATCGACGCGCCATCGCTGCTTCTCGTGGTTCTTCGCCTTGCGCTTGACATGCTCGCCAAACCAGTCGCCTTCCGTGTCGCGCAGATGATCGCCAAATGCAGCCCAGAAGCCTGGCAGGGTAATGTAGCCGCCACCAATCGTCTTCTTGACTGCATTGACGGACTGGAGCCAGTCTAGAACAAGTTCGATCTCGAAGAGCTCGGTGGTATGTTCAGGACAATGAGAGTGGATGTCGGCAGCCGTCGCACCAGCCAAGAAAATCAAAGGTTGTAGCACCAAGTTCAAGACCCGGTACCACCACGGCCACGTCACAGATTGCCCGTCGATACTGCTCCAAATGGGTAGTAGCGCGCCAGCATCGTTTTTGCCAGGAAGAGGCGGCTCGGGCAAGGCTGACCAAACCGCAGGTTCAACATCGTCCATGGATGAGGGTGGCGTCGCCAACGGCTGTAGCGGGTTGCCGAACTTATAGCTTGCTGTCGGCACAACGTGAATATCCCAGAACAACCGAGCACGGTCAATCGCGCGGTGGTTGTAGCCGCCTTCGCAAAAGCCCCACTTAGACAACTTCGGAAGTGCGGCGTCGAAGTCGCTGTTGACAGGCGGTAGCTGAGGTACGAGCTTGACGGTACCCTCGTTCACCATAGTCATAATTGCCGCAAAGGCACCGTCGTCTTCGCAACGCGACATGTTGTAGAACCCTGGATCCTCGTCGGCAAACGCAGCATCCATCTTTTTCTTGATCGCCACGGCGTTCATGAAGTCGTCGAGCTGGAAAAGGCGTGTATACTTCTTCGCTAGAGCTTGCGTGAAGTTGTAGTTACGGCCGGGCAAGAGACGCTTGAGCTTGCGCATCCTGATATGCTGCTTGTCCACGAGATCACCTACGACGTTGACAAGTATAGTCTCACCAAGATCCTCGAACTTCTCGTGAGCCAGATTTGCGTTGTAGAGTGCTTGTGGGGTAGCCGTGTTTGCACGGATCCATGACCGTGCCTTGAGAAGCTTGTCGTCAGAGGACCAGGTTGCCTTCCGCGATCGATGGAGAGGAGCGGTGAAAGACTGTTGCAGTTGAAGCATTGTCCTTGTCCGATCTGCCGTTGCAGCTTTGTACCACAATACCCGATCCATAATCTCGTAGTTTGACTCATCGACATCGAATTGTTGCAGTGCTTGCCTCAAAACGGGAAGAGGAAGATCGGGATAGGCACATTTGCGCATAGCCCATTGTATGAGGCTTGCCCAATCGTGTGTCTCGGGATCCTCGATAGAAGCAACTTTGCCGGTCTCATACGCTTCCAAGTAAAGTGACTGGAATGTTGTGGTGAGCTCACGGATTTGCTCAGCCATGTGCATCTGCATCCAGCTCCAAAGCTTCTTGGCCTTGACCACGTCGAAGAACCTGTTGCTAGTATGTACGTTCTTGAAAAGGCACCAATCAATTTGCTGATCGTTTCCAGATAGCGAAGAGACGACAACGAAGGTGTAGAAAAGCTTTTTGAAGTCGTCCAGCGTGTCAGCAGCCCGGGCATACTGTCGTTCCTCCTTGAACCTGTTAATACGTGTCCTCTTACGCTCGCGCCATGTCTG